CGGCACAGCCCACCAGCCCGCCAGGGGGCGGCCCGCGCCGGCCGGCGAGGAGGTACACACCCTGTCCAGGAAGCACCTGCCCACCAGCTCTGGGCAGTCCAGGTAGTTCTCCAGCTCCCTCAGGAATATCCTGGGCAGAGGGGGTCAGCAGAGGGGGCGTCAGCACGGCTCGGCCCCCCCAGCGGGCCCTCGGCCTCCACGCAGGCCTGACGCCAACCCAGGCCTGCGCCCGCTGGTTCCGGGGTGCGGGGTGCTGGGGCCGGGTGGGCATAGCCCCAGGGCTGGGATTCCCCATGCACGCCAGTCCCACCCCATTTCTGACTTGGGGTGGCTGCAGGGTATGTTCGGACCCGCCTCCACCTCCTGCTGCCAGGGCCCAGCGCCAGGCCGAGGCCCCGGGCGGGGGTCAGCCAGAGCCAGGCCTCCCTCATCGGTAGGTGGACGCTGACAGGGCAGTGTGCCGGGGGCGGCCCCGAGCCGCCAGGCAGCCCACCGGTGGTGGAAGTGGTAGATCTCCTCCATGTTCCCGAAGAGCACGTCCTTCTTGCCCTGGAGGCCGGCCGCCAGCAGGTGTGCCATCAGCGGGCTGTCCATCTCGGCCGCGTAACCCTGCGGGCAGCGGGCTCAGGGGAGGGAACCCCATCGCTGGCCGCCGTGTCTGGCGTGGCGCCTGCGGGCCCCGCGGGCCACCGAGCCCCAGAGTCATCCACCTGCTGCACCCCTGAGCGAGGTAGGGCAGGGCAGGGCACCCCGACCCCTCACCAGCCCCCCGCCGGGCAGCTCACCTCCAGCACACACAGCAGCTCGTCCACATAGACGCGTTCCGTGTCCAGGAGTTCTGTCATGACGTGCCTGGGGCGCACAGCTGTCAGGCGGCGCCCGCCCCCACCCCCACGAGGCCCAGCCAGCACCACAGTGGCCGGCTCATGCCACGGACCAGGGCCCTGGCCCCGCGGGGCCCTGCCCGGCGTGCGCACAGCCAAGCGCAGCCTGGGTCCAGTGAAGCCGACTGTGGCCGCCTGCGTGGCCAGCAGCCCCGTCTTGACTCAGCTGCTGTCAGGGCACCGGCCCGGGCTTCTCCACCCCAAGCGCCCACGTACTCTGAGGCCCCAGGGAACCACGGGGTGCAGCGTGGAACCTGCAGCCTCCCGCTCACATCTGCACCCCAACACTCGGCCTGGCGGGCCCAGCAAGGCCTCTGCGGACAGCACCAGGGGCCTGTGCAAGCTGGCGCCCTCGCCCGCCCTGCGCCCGTGCCCGCCCGCCCCGCCCCCTCACACAGGTGCACAAAATCGGCTCTCTGAGCCCTGGGCACCTTCCTCTCTGCTCAAAGCCAGGCCCTGGCGGGCAGGCAGGCCACTCCCTGCGGAGGCGCCGTGGCCCCGGCCCCGGTGGGGAGGCCCCTCCCTGCACCCCGCAGCCCGAGTGGGTGATGTGCAGAGCGGGAGCTGTGGGCAGCGTGGCAGGCCGTGGGCTCCAGC